ACTCAACGACATTCAAATAACCTTTCAATGACGTCAGAATGACAACAGGGGATACGAAGTCCGGTTTCTGTTAAATAATGACGGCTTGTTACATGTGTAAGTGTGTCTGAGAAATAAATATGATCTTTGGAATCAGTCACCCATCGGCTTTGTTCAACTTCTGTAAATAGACAAGTATAATCTTATACACAACAGCCTTATGAAAATAAATTAGTTTTTATAAAGCAAATATGTGAAACCATTTCTATCCTGGAAAGGTAAATCAACGCCTTTCCCCCGGTGTTAAGTCTCCTTGTCTACCCTTGGGTTAAAACAAAGTACACGTTCTCTTTGAACGTTTTGGAAACGATTGAAGTGATGTCACTGACTTGACCCAGAATGGAACTACTTTTATGAGATCACACACATGCAGTATTTTGTCTGCTACTGAAATCTTGTGGTATCCTCAAAACTGAAATTTAAGCTCATCTTAATCAACAACATATTTTTAAATATATATATATATATAAATTTATAATTGTATTTGATGTTTTCTTGTAATATACTTTGGAATTATATCATCAATCTCTCTCAGAGTTGTTCTTCTGTAAGCAGCTCACGGACTTATAGCTGACCTCGCGGTCAAGGTCAAAGTTTGATGTCGGGCAAAACTATGGCGACATCCCCGACTACACCAATGTATGAAACATCTGTCGTCTGTTTTATAGGCCATCGATCAGCGTAAAAATACATTTGAGCTTTTTGAAATGTTATATCACAGTATATATGAACATGTACCCCAAGAACATCGGTAGTGGAAAAACGAGGATATAAAATGTATCCACGCCGTTTGGAGACTGTTTACTCCAAAATGATCTTCTGAGAAATAATCCGTAACGGTTGTAACCATATAAACTAATGCAGTCATTTTCCAGATGAAAAAACAACTATTTTCAAAATAATAATACAAATAACAAAGGAGAAAATAATAAAATACTTTATCATTTGACACAAATACGTTTTTCAAGAATCTTGAAATGGTGTTAGCCGTTTGCAGAGGCGTTATTGGGATACTGCAATGCGATAAACACTCAGAAAGCCTCGGTAGTTACAACCTAATTATCTCCCCCTTGGGTTGAGATCCCCTTGTCTCACCCTCAAGGGAGTGAAACATTCTATTAGTCCATGAAACAGAGCCATGTACATTATTTTTCTCAAAATTTCTTAAAAGAATTTAACAAATCGTACGCTATTGTGTAACCTATTCATCCCACCGTTATCCAGCTTCGAAATCGACATCAATTAATGATATTTTCCTCTTCGTAAAATGATGACGCTATGTTGTACACTTTTATGAGTAGCGCCACAGTACGTGCCAGCCATCTCCCTCCACTCGGTCTCGTATGAGATTGAAAGAATCTTTAACCTCATCGGGGGATCTCTACCCAAGCTGACGACATCAGACCTGTCCTGCTGTCCTTTTTATGAACGTGGTTTTAGCTACGAATGGGGACACTCCCCTTCAGTGGTTTTAGCTATGAATGGAGACACTCCCCTTCAGTGGTTTAGCTCTGAATGAGGACACTCCTCTCCAGTGGTTTTAGCTATGAATGGGGACACTCCCCTTCAGTGGTTTAGCTCTGAATGGGGACACTCCCTTCCAGTGGTTTAGCTATGAATGGGGACACTCCCCTTCAGTGGTTTTAGCTATGAATGGGGACACTCCCCTTCAGTGGTTTTAGCTATGAATGGGGACACTCCCCTTCAGTGGTTTAGCTATGAATGGGAAACTCCCCTTCAGTGGTTTAGCTCTGAATGGGGACACTCCCCTTCAGTGGTTTAGCTCTGAATGGGGACACTCCCCTTCAGTGGTTTAGCTATGAATGGGACACTCCCCTTCAGTGGTTTAGCTATGAATGAGACACTCCCCTTCAGTGGTTTAGCTATGAATGGGGACATTCCCCTTCAGTGGTTTTAACTATGAATCGGGGAACCCCCTCCAGTGGTATAGCTACGGATAGGGAACCCCACCCCCATCTTAGCACAGGGGTGAAACAAGAAAATCTCACACCGGTGATTTCTTGTATCTGGGAATGAAATAACTCCTCCTCTCCTGGGTAGTGTTGATATACTTATTCAAGAGAAGAGGAATTATCCCATACATAGAAAGAATGGGATAACCCTTGGAAGTATAGCCAAAGAGTATGGAGACACCTTCCCATCAGAAACCTTTTCATAGCCTCGATTTGATATATGGTTCTGTATATATTATCTTCTTAATATATGTTCTTTGTGTTTTCCCCACGTTATATTGTAGCTTTGAAATATGATTCAACGTGCTTCCTCATCAGTCCAATGAATGAAATATACAAACAATACTTTTTCTGAGATTTTTAAAAATTTTATTAAATAAACAATTGATTACAATCCTGTTAGTAAACTACATACAATGTAGTGACACATCAGTAGATAGTAACTAAACATATTCTATACTAATTCTTATAGTGTATTAATCTCAGATATATTATGACTATAAAGGGTTCTTGACGAGCCTTCTCGCAATCCTAAATACTAATATCCGAACATCGTATCTAAAGAAAGCAGAGAAATGATTCGAACGCTCCAGACAAACAATGCCTGCATTTCCCCACTATTGTATATCACCGTCTATTGAATGGCATTTCATCATCCATTTAGATTATCAAAATGAGATTTTGGCACTGACCCCTAAAACGGTGTGATAAACTGAAGTCAACGATAACGCTACCGTACAGCCGGTTATTTTCGGCGAGACGATATTTTCGCTACTTTGCGATACAGTAACACGATCGCAAAAACTTATTCAAATTATTATTAAAGAGACGGATATGTATTTAATGTCCTTTAAATTTCAGATTGCGATTTTTTTTTCAATTCGTTGAAATAGAATTCAGTCGTCTTGAAAGCAAATTGCGAAAATTTCGATTCTTGAAAATAACAGCAATACGGTATGTTATTACGTAACACGAATATCTGTACTATTATGTTATTAGGTCTAGTACTTCTTACAATCACATTCACTATAATGGTATATTACAGCATATTAAACTTCAAATCTCCACAACTTTAAATAAACACGTGAAAACGATGACACAAAATTCCCCTTATTTCTATACTCATGGCGCACACAACCTCTCCCACACATCCAAACACCTCATAAATGATGTATTTTTAAAATGTTACCATCTCTTGATTTCAGTAATTTAGAATTCAAATCGCCAGTTCTACATTTGAGGTCCTCAGACATGGTACTTTATTGTAAATGACTTAAGGCAGAAACCACAAATGTAATGAGGCCTTTTTTATTCCTTGATTTTATTGCGTCAGTTCTAAAATAGACGCATCTCTCAATTTCGCCTTGTTGATATTTGATTTTCTATTCTCACACAGTCATTAATTTTATGGATACATCGGCGCCGAAAGAATTCGAATATATCGTCAAAAACAACGTTTGTTTACAAAAGGCTCTGTAGCAACATGACAATCGCTTCGCACGATATACTTGATAATGGGTTTGGGAATCGCCATTACTCCCATTACAGCGACAATTTTGAGGACAAGTATGTCCGTCGATAAACCGACTTGTTCCGATTGTCTTAGAAATGGTAAACCTAAATATATTTCTAAACGTACTAATTGCGTTTATTTTACTTGTTATCTGGGGACAAATGAATACCAATAAATTTTATAGTGTATATCAAAACACCGGGTATTCTGAACTCAAACAAAATCCTATTATAATATTTGAAAAAAATCTGTAAATAATTCAAATGTATATGAAATATATAATAAAAAATATTGTAATATGAGCTTTGGAATTTTCTGATGCTTGATGTAATATTAAACATTGTAGAAATATGATTTTTATCAACCATTCATATTAAGACTTGGCACAAAATTGGTTTCATATAAATATTTATAAACATATACTTAATATGATAAACGCGTCTAGTTATGATTTAACGGATAGGTGTTTTTTAATTTATCTGTTTTGGCATAAATCGCCTTATGTAACAAAATCGTCAATATAGTGATAAATATGTGAAAAAACGAAAATAAAATCATATTTTCAAAAATGCATAATTTTCTCCACAAATATTGAAATGCTCGTGCATTGCTCATTATAGAAATAAAGATATACGTTTATATAGAAACTGTAGCACTCTCGGTGTGTACTATAACCATCGCCTACAATCGATGTAAAACCTCACACAGGTTCACATATAGGTTTTTAATTCATAGTATTCACAAAGTGTCTGGTTAGAACGTATACAGATAATGTGAATCCTCACATATGGTTAAATACCAGTTTTAAATTCATAGTGTTCACATAGTGTCTGGTTACAATGTATACAAATAATGAATTCGGAAAAATAATGTATTGCAGCGTGTTTCAGGTTAAGATGACAAACTGCTCAGTATGTGAGAAAAAGAAATTTAAATGTGTTTTAATGATATCGTTTTTTTTTTTCTTTTTTTCTTTCTTTTCTTCTTTGATTACATATATATTGAAAGAAATGATTTAACTTTATTTACGGTTAACAATTTTGAAAACAGTGAATACATAAGTTTGCGAACAGCTCAGTTATAAATAATCTTGCGAACTTAAACTCTATAGAATTGGCAAAGAAGCAAGAACGGCTTTATAGATTTGTCATGCTTTGATGTGTTAAGTGTTATGGATATTTCTGACTTTGGGGGAAAAAAATCACGATATCAATATTTTTGAAATAACAAATGCTTCCACCATTTTGGAAGATGAAACCATTACCTCTCTACTGGAAGATTAATCTTTTAGACACATCTTATTTTGTTTAACTTTTCCCTGAGTCTGGTGTCATTACGACATCCTATTGCACACGAAGCTATGACGTCATTTGCACCGTGTATACCATTAAAAAATCTTAATTTTGCTCTGAATTGTTTTCTTTTTTATCGTACAGTGCTGACAACAAATCTGTTTTCTGTTTCAGTGAAAGAAATCAACGGAACATCACAGCAACGGTAACAAGAAGTGTAATCAAGAACTGTGTAGCGGATATAGATGGCGCTGCAGAAGTACCGAGGTAGTTGTCGTAACTAACATAAACGATTCTGGTTTCGAGTGGAAGTGGTGGTCTGTAATTATTCACAGTCCTTTTGCCATCGGTGTCAAACACTTCACGGAACTTGGCAAGCTACAAACAGAAATGGAAGAGTATGACTCACTCGTGATATTATAGTGGTAAAGGAAAGATACACTCTCCACACACACACACATATATATATATACTTTCCGGACATATTAAAGAAATTATCAATCACCTCTATTTCACTTTTTCCTTCTGTAATATGTCTTAAAAAATACCTATCATTGGGGGCGCAAAACAATGCCAAATAGTAATAATAATGCACTCTTTGATAAAAGATACATTTCTGAAAATTTCAATTCAAAATTTTCGACCAGTTACCAAATTGATTAACCTTTTCAGAACTATTTGAGCAATTGTTATTTTGATTACCAGGGTAGATTTCTACATCTAAGTACATATCATACCAATATGTTAAAGGTTTATTGTCGATCAAGTTGTAGATGTGTTACCTGTTCTGAGGAGATTTTGATGGTTTCTTCGAACACAGTCCACGTGACACTTTCGTAACATGGTGGAGTTGTAAGACTGCCCTTGTAGCGATAGTAACGGGACATGTCTTCAGTCATCATGTATCTGATATTGAAGGAGTCAATGCTAGCACTAGTCTCTGCAATAAATACATAAGTTTTCAGGGGAAAAAAAACACTTTTAACCCCCTAACGAATATTTTATTTCTTGATTTACAACTAGCCCCCCTGGTTCAACAGTCATCAATACTAGCCAACCATTTGACCAGTCCTTGCTGTTTCTCGGTTTAGACTAATGGAGTGAAACTTTGCCTCTCATATAACATGTAGGTCTCTTTCAAGTAGTTAGTCATATCGTCAATCGTGATCTGTTTGCTTCCGTCCATTATTGCTTAAACACAAAACCTGATCTTCCACTTTTAGCACGGTTATATGCTTCCCATGTTGTCTATCTCTTTTGCACGTAAGAACTGTCAACGAAATATCCTGGAAATTGATAACGAGTTGAATTGTTTAATGGTGATCGTGAAAACGGACCAACCCATTTGCTCTTCGTTTTCTTTTACTTTTCAATAAATAGGTAATGTTTTAAAATGCTTTCGTTTCTTTAATCTAATTTTCTTGAACAAAATATTAACATGTTAGAGACGTCACGGTTCAGTGTCATTGATGTGACATCCCTCCTGGTCCATTACACTGATACCAGATTATGCCAGTCATGTTTTGAGCACCCGATAAGCACTAACCGTTAAGCCGTATCATGTATGCTTAAATGATTATACATATGTCGCAGTCTGTGCACAAACCCCTACTTTTACCCCTAATGGAAGAACGTTCAGTCCGATGGCAAAGATTGAGGGTTTATCAGGTGAAGATCAGAACTAAAAAGAAAACGAAAAGATACGAAGATCCCGAATTCAGTCGCCTCTGGTAAGATAGCAATAGGGCAATAGGATAACTAACACCCCATGGACAGACGATGAAGGGTGAAGTGGGATCAGTTTCGTACAAGTGCATTTTATATTCTGTCCACATATTCTGTATGTGTTCCAACGTGTGTTTTTTTAAATATAGCTGAAGTGTATAAGCATAAGATTGTGTATAATAGTTATGACAGTAGATCACAATGAATATGCAGTTTGCTTTCATTTCACGCAAAAAAGTAATGAAACTATTTCGTAGAAGTTAAACTTTTTGGGAGCCTTGGCCATAACAAAGAATAACACTTCGGGACGAGGTTCACAAAATAGCATAAGAAATGAAAACAAACCTAAGTTTTTTTTCAAATAAAACAGGCTTAAGTTGAAATGTCGAGGACAAAAATTATAGGGAGACCGTCATTTTGTGCCTTTTTTCGATTCATGACGTAATGTGACTGTGTAGTGACACATACGAAAATAAATTACATTTGCGAATTCATTGGATAACAGGCCGATTATGGGAAACATTTATACTATACGATAAGAGATATCAAACCCAAGCAACACCATACTTACTAGGATATTTGATTAAATGTAGGTTGTCAACAACTGGGTTGTAATTACAGTTAAGGGTATGTCCAACCTGTGGGAAACGACAAGACAAAAGATATGTTATGCGAAAAATGACACACAAAACATTAATGTTCCTAGTTTTCCGCACATTCTGTGTATAGTTTCGAAATCCTAAACTAAGAAATTTAAGCAACAAGAATTACATATTCTTGACATTGCAAAATAATTCATTTGGAAATGAAAAGAATGGAACCAACATGCAAATTAAGAGCACCAAACGCGTCCAGCATCATATAACATAACGAGAGACTGTAAAAGTTCTCCATAATTTTCATCAACATGCATCTTTTGAAATCCCGTGTTACGAGTATGTCCTTCAGTTGACAACTTCCTGCAAATATTATGTCTCGAATTTTCCAGGATTCGAGGTTATTTTCAGTTTTTGTGGTAGATAATAAAACGGACAAGTAACATGAACTCGAGAAAAGCTAATCACTAATGTATCTTTATCAGTGAGTGTCACTGAAAAGATATCTTAAGAGAGATAATACCGGAAGCAAAACAACAACGGTTAAAAGTTTAAATGATGTTGCACGAGATTACTTTGAATGTTAACAATCTGAGAGACTGTTACAGATATCCACACCTATCCAGAACACACTTACTTCAAAGAAGAAGCCGAAGACAGCAAGACCATCGGCCTTGTCGACGGCTTCTGTTAAGGAACCATACTTCATGTTGTAGTGAACGAAGTGAACCTTTAGAAAAAGTAAAACAAAAACAGGTATAATATATATAAAAGCAGTCATAACTTTCAAATATCAGTTGTGATTAAAATGATAAATATTTTGATGAGATAGTTTAAAGAAAACACGTTTATCTCTGATCTCGTGCACGATTAATCAAAGTATTTCTGAATCAGTTCTTGTATCGTAATTATTTAATTAAAATGTCATCGTTAAGTGTTTCAATTCTAATATTGCCTGGTTATATTCATTCTTAACTGAAATCTTAATTGACCAACGTGACACTGACCTCCATCGGATAGGCCTTGCCGTTGTAGGTATGCTCGGATCCCATGCCATTGTTCGCTCCCCAATGGAAGTGAAATTGTGCAAGTTTGAATGTTCCCGGTAGACCACCATTTCTCGTCGTTACATGAACGTTTCCACCAAAATTCACTTGCACTATTAATAACAGTGAGAAAATATTAGAAATTTCTTATTCGATTTTATGGATACATATATATCAGTTATTTAAGAATTTATATCGTTGGGACTTTTAATTACGAATTCGTGAAAACACAGGTTTTCACGGAATAATATAATGGTGGCCATATTTGGCTTAGTTTCTAATTTTTGTGTGGTTTGATCAAATGGCTGTAGCACATAAGTTGTATTTTTCAGAGAAGTCATGAACTCTTGGTTCCCGCTGATGATAATATTTTCAATGTATTTTATATCATGATTTTAATCCATTTCTCGAAAATGACGAAAAATAAAATCCACGAGAAAAAATCCGTAACTTTGAAACCACGCAATAAATGTACATGATAGTCAATGATACTTAAATGTTCTAACCTCCGTGTCCGTTGTTGGAAATGGATGGTTCATGTATGGTGGCATTGTCGTAGTTCGTCATGTCAAACAAACCGAGGTCTGAGCGATAGGCCATTAAAGACTTCTGCGGCAGGTCGATGGGACTTTGGCTATTGTCCGCACAGATAGGGTAGACACTAGACCAATAATCAAGACCTTAAAATAAAGGAAGAGTTGACATCAAAAATAATATCACTTTTCATCATGTATGAATCTATCCTATCAGCGTACTTTAAGGTCTTTATCTTACTTTCTTATCTGTTTCAGATATCTATAGGTGATATATGTATATTATATACTAACATTCATGTTAAAACCCGTTTTGTCATTCTGAATAAATAAAGATAGAAATTCTACATACACTATCTTTCTATGTTATGTCAAAGAACGGTGTGACATTACAGCAGTATATATCAGATAAAGCTCGCTCACTTAATTTGCATATCCGCCGTCTTGAGTTTTACATATATTATGAAGGTAAAGCAGGAGAACGGAGACCATTTTAACGGGGCCGGGCACATTTTCACCGGTCACTTAGTACACCTAACACCGTTCCATACGCATTGGTGTAAAAATATAATCGTTATGTTATTTGTTGAGGTTCCCACAAGACTCACAAATCAAAAGCGAGAAGTGTTATATAATTGTCGTCGCCGATAACTTTGGATGACATTACTGGGTTGTATTCTTGGAGGACGGCAAGTTTCACCGTAAGTAATATACAGAATCGATGCCAAATTTTCAGATTCCGGAAACAATACCGAAGAAGAAGCAGGTTCAAAGGTTCTTGAGACCTTTGAAAACGTTAAAAATGCATTTGTGCTCAAAAGGTGAAAGGGTCAGCAACGGGGTAACTAGACTTATAACTTGACGGAACGGTATGATGAAAAAAAAAAAAAATCATCATCAGGTATTCTGAACCCGGTGTCACCGTTCAACCGTTCCCTCCAATAATAATTAGATGCTACTGTATAAGAGGCGACCAGAGGGGCTAGCAAAGTAAGCGCTTGTAAACGTATAGAAAGCCTAATACAGTTCAAATGTAACTGTATTTTATTTTTTTAAATTATTGAACAAGTGTAATTGTCTATTAAATAGCATAAATTTACATGACCATGCATTAACCTGCATTGACAATGATTTACAAATAAAAACAAATTAGTTAATTAAGTTTTGTTTTGCCTCTTATCTTATATCTTATATTGGATACAGAGTCAAAAAATAAAGAAACATATATTTGTACCCCCTCCTACCCCCTTCTTTATGCTTGCCGCCTCTCCAGTTTTTATGACGTCACAAATATTTTGACGTCATTATCTCATGAATATTTATTAATGAGTTGGGAGTGCATTTCTCCACAAGACATAAACATCTCGTAATGGCGTTGCTGCGTATACCATTGACGTCATTAATAGTAACATTGTTACCATCATAACATTGCGAGAATGATTTTACAATTTCATCTTTATGAATATATAGAATATTAAACTAGTCAAAATGTAGACAAATATTCCAGAAAGATATGTATCAATTAAAATTTATTTCATGTCAGAAGCCGACCTTTACTGGTTAAGTAAGCTTACCTTTGGCGCCCACGTATGTCCAAGATGCTGAAATAATATCATACAATAAAGAAATCAATATAAAATACAAATATCAAAAGAAAGTTTTTGAAATGATATAACAAAAAGCCATTGAAGATAAATTCTTACCGTATTCCGATCAATTGGAAAACTGAGATTTCAACAATACTGATTGTTTTGAAATAGATTAGTGAGGTACTTTTGGCGAAAATGGTACATAAACACAGGGAGGGTAATTACCTCTTATTGATACAGTATTTCAATTCAATATATTCCAGAACACTAAATTATCAATCTACACGTTATTATTAGCACGAGACAATCATAATAATCAGATATCAAAATGAATTATTTCGGTTAGTTTACATAATCTTGCTCATTTTTATTTCACTAAATTTGTGACATTCAGATCAAAGTTGTAAGAGGATCACATGAAATGTGACATTTTTCAAAAACAAGACATCTGTTCATTATGAAAAAAACACATCTTATTATAATAAGATTACCATGCAACACACTGATGTAGACAATCAATAGAAAATTTCCCTACACTGGCCTTATTCCAGAATCTTTAAAATGTATCTCCTTCTGAGCTGAAACCGACCATAAGTGAGATTTTGTAAAGAGTAAATAGTGACCTGGATTTGGTTGATAGCTGATGTAGACTTTCCTTCCATTCAGTGGCTGCACTGGGCGGTAGTTATTGACAGTCGTCTTATTCTGATTGTCTTTCAAAGTACGGAATTGCTCCAACTGCAACAAAATACATAAAAAAAATTCACCCAGAATCCATAGAAACTCTAAATAAAAACATGATATATAAGTAGATAATATGCTATATATAGGAAGAAGGTCTACACAGCCTGTACGCGACTATAAAATGTTCTTTAAAAGAACAGTTGTATCATAACGTGAGCCTAATTTGTGGAAACTTTGATAAAGAGATTTTCGTAAATAGTTCAAATCTTATCAACAATTGTTTCCTTTATTGGTTCTAATTTATCGACTGTTCATGGGTAATAAGAAACAGACTATAGTTACCGTTAGTGATTATGTTTTCCAATGTATCGATTTCTCAGGGATATTATAAAACAAAATTTAGCTAACGCTAGTGATTATGTTTTCCAATATATCGAATTTTCAAGGATATTATGAAACAGACTTTAGCTAAGACTAGTGATTATGTTTTCCAATATATCGAATTTTCACGGATATTATGAAACAGACTTTAGCTACCGCTAGTGATTATGTTTTCCAATCAATCTATTTTGACGGATATCATGAAACCACTATATTTTCATCTACTGATACTACTTTCAAATGTATCCATTGCCCGTTATCTTCCCATCGTTGAATTCAGAATGATGACATTTTAACATCATCTTCCTCTATATGTGTTAAAAATGTGGCCAAGTGAGACCCTTTACGCTATAACAAGGGTCATCTACTAATAGATATGGCTTGATATGTGTGTAATATATTGTTTTTATTTTGAGGTTTGTGAGATTTCTTGTACATAATCTTTTTATTGGTGACTTTTCACCTTTGCACTTTGACCGATATACAACCAAATACAACCAGGTATAAAACATGGTGACCTATTTACCATGCTATGTCTACACTATTTTTTCAGCAGAGAGGAGGACATATTTACTAACAAAATCATGGTAGAACAGAAAAAAATATATCATCACATATCTGTTCTAAGTGAGGAGGATTTGCTCAAACAAAATCACATATTACTACGAAGCATGTACAATCAAACTTTGTTAACTCGAGCTCGAATGACTAAAAAAACCTTTATTACTCTAGTCATGGCCATTTCTTCTTAAATGTGAATGAAATGTTTTAAATGGCGGATTAATTGATGTTATCTTGAAATATTTGCTTATTAGAACAAGGTTTGTAAAACTCCAATGATAAAACCTATTTCGCGAGTATTGAACACATCTAAAATGAAGGTGTTTAAGGAACCGTTACATATTCCACGACATTGTCAATGTGACCATGAGGCAGACACCATGGCTTTCATCAACCTGTGTAAGCTTCTTTTGTAAGCTTATTGAATATTAATGACATGGTAAGTTATTACCTGATGACCTGATATAGGAACTGTAGCCTCAAACACTGTCCATGTCACACTTTCATAGCAATTGGGCGTGGTCAAACTTCCCTGATAACGGTAGAAATGTCCGAGGGTAGTAGAAGCTGGTAACAATTTCATCAAATCGAAAGACTGAAGAGCCTTTTCGTCCTCTGAAAAAAATGTCAATATTCCGTTACACTTCGTATTCGATTTAATTCATTTCTAAAATCAAGATTTAAAAAGGGCCTCATAAAACCTGTTGTCTGTTTCATTCCTCTTTAGGTGAAAATTTTATCCTACAATATTTGTTTGGTATTTCAGCCCCAATTAATGACACCTGTAGTTACTTTAGTTTATTGCCTGACAAATTCTATCACAATGTTTCTTTCTTTGATATTAATATCGGGCAATCAAAGACTAAATATCTGCTATTTTTCGTATAATCTAATTCCTAAAACTTAGATATACAAAACGTAAAACGCATTTTCATAATGCAAGGTATTGTTTTGCTGATATTGTGTATCGTTTTCAGAAAGCAACACAACTTATTTTATTATATTGATATTATAACCCGAGATACATTTTTAAAATTTTATATATTAGATTTAGTTTTTTTCTGATGTATTTGTTAAAATAAATGGGTTTCAATCAAATAGGCTATACTTACCTTTGTATGCTTTCATTCTGTGGTCCTTCGTAAAATGACATTAAAATATTGAGATTGTTCAGACACAACGATTAGGATGTCTTACAGAATTCAAACTTGTTGGAAAACTGTAATCATTAAAAACTCACTTACTGTAGTCAGGTATCTCTGACAGACCACCTACGATAGGGGAATAATCGGGGTTGTCAGCAGAACTTATCTGAAAATATTTTGATCCAATGATATCATATTGGCATGCTGAAATTACACATGGTCATTTATAATAAGTTTTCCAGTATCTTCACTCATACACAACAAAAGATGGATGATTTATAGAGAAGTTTGTAACGCTTAAGAATTTGTAGTAGAAACACAGTTAGCGAAATTTGACAAATTATAGATTGCTTTTAATGTTACACGAATAAATAGATATCCGATGAAAGACTATGATAAAAAAATGACAGCTTTAAAAATGAAACTGACTTTTGAAAGTAATGTTGATTGTTGTACAACTTACCTAGTATGGTTCCATGTTTTATGTGATCTATGTTGCTTACCTCGAAGAACGCTCCAAGAACAGCCAATCCATCTGGTTTGTCTATAGCCACAGAGATGTTCTCGTATTTGGTATTGTAGTGGACAATATGCAACTAGAAAACAGAAATAACTTCTTTTCAATCAAAACATCTGAAAGACAGAACAACTTGTGTACTGGCTCTTCATTATCCATTGCAAAACGATACAACTAAGGTCTCTTTTTTTGATATTATTATTCCTGAAAGAGGAACAATGATTTTAACTACGTCTCCCTGAAATTTTATTCTCCAAGCCTGTCTCTTTATCGTGGTAGTTATGTATTTCACTTTCTATCTTTCATACTGTTTATCTGCCTCTTGCTGCCTCTTTCAATTTCCATGTCTCTGTGTTACCACTTGAAAAAGAGTTAATTAATTTTCAAAGGTTAAAAAATCAAGGACCTTTAGCTTGTGTTTTTTTTGTAACTTTTGAAAAATAACTAACGAGAGTGAAATAAATGCCATAAGAAACAACCATGAGTTTGTATTTCCGGATTCTACCACAAAAAGATATATTCTACACAAGGAAGCTATTGGCTCTGTTTACGAACTTTGGTTGTAGCGCAATAATATGACATGAAGTAAAATGCCGCTAATTGATATTAAAAAATGACAATTCCGGAATACTTCAGAAATACTATGATCAATTACAACTTATTACAAGAAATATAGTATTTTTCAAGTCCATTATACGATAGAAATATGTATGAAAATTAGATGATAAGAATAATATTAGAACTATTCTGCGGTTTGTTGAGTGCATGGAGCGCCATTTTTGTCAAAGTATAGAACATTTATGTTTAAGCAACAGTTGACATGACCATTGATGACTGGTGAGTGGAATAACACCAACCTATTGTGGTAGAAATGTATTAAACTACTTAAACAACTTGTAAAGTCTATGTAATAAGATACATACCTCCATTGGATACTTTCTTCCATTTACAGTGTGTTCTGATCCCTGGTTATCATCGGAGCCCCAGTGGAAATGAAACTGAGCAGCTTTGTATATCCCATTCAAACCGCCTCCGCTTACTGTCACACTCCGGGTACCGGAAGCGATGTCAACTGTGGCTAGATAAAGAAGAGAGCACGAGCGTTATAAATACACGTCAACAAACGTCTCGAGATAATGGTGCCATACATGTATTCACAAAGAAGGACCCCTTTCGGCACGTTTTCATTAAATTGGATTTCTCTCGCCTCCCATTATAAAAGAAAACTAGGTTTCTTGATTAGGAACACTCCTCTCCTCTGTTCATTTAGGTACCTATTTATATTTTGTACGAAATGTTCTGAACTGGTAAATAATACTTCGATCTAGAATTATATAATAGATTTCTTAAATGTTAAAAGTTACATACCTCCATGTCCGTTGTTGTGAAGCCTAAGTGTGAAATATGTGGTTATGTCGTAGTTGTTGAAATTGAATCCTCCCAATTCAGGGTTATAATAAACTTGATCAGGAATATCAATTGGACTCTGGGAGTTCCTGTCGCAGATTTCTGACACATCTCCCCAATTTCCAGGTCCTGTAATAAATATCGAAGCTTTTATGACCCTATACTGTTTTGTACCCTCTAGTCAGTCCTTACAATAATATACAGTGTTGCCCCCTACAGAACTCCTATTTTTCAATACAAAGTGCTGTGCAAACTTGTGGCATTGTAGGAAACAAGTTACTGTCCCCTTTTTGTGATAAAAAAAACACAGAATGCTGCCCAAAGTTACCGGAAAACGCACAGTGCTGCCCTCTGCTGGCAATATTGTTAGCCGTTCTCGTTTTAGAAGAGAACAGCGTTAGCCCTTACCGTTAACAGTGATGCCCCCTGATGGCAATATTGTTATCTCTTCTCGTTTTAGGGCAATATTGTTATCTCTTCTCGTTTTAGAGGAGCACAGTACGAGCCCATACCGTTAATAGTGCTGCCACCTGCTGGCAATATTGTAATCTCTTCTCGTTTTAAAGGAGAACAGTGCTAGCCCCTACTGTTAATGGTGTCCCCCTGTTGGTGATTACAGGACAATGCATAATCGCTCCTTTTTCTCCTCTAAATGAGCAAACAGTCAGGTAATTACAGAAAACACATTGCTAACCCTTATTCGCTTCATATGAAAAATTAGTGGCCATTCAATTATTTTTGTGAAATTTTCATGAAAAAAAACCCACAAAAACATACACAAACTACTTTTTTTATTATCTAATCTAGAAAGTGAAGCATTTTGTAATATAGCAAAGACCTCTAAGTGATGAGATCAAAGTCTGTCTCTTTTCCTGTCAATGAAAAGTTTGAGATATAATTTTGAAGATAACTTTGATAAAAATCCGATGTATTCTGGATAAGTTTCTTCCACGTGTTAAAAATTCGCGGGAAACAGATGTTTGGTGCATTTAACCAATATATAACAAGATGTCCTTGCTTTTGAACCTAAACTGGAATTTTATAAACGTTTAACTGTTCATTATCATAAATTTCGTTACTATACAGCTCTTCTTTACGCAAATTTCGATGACAACGTAGGACCGATAAATCAGATAACTGGACGACATTTTTCACGACTGGTTTATAACACAAATATCTCCTTACTTGAAATATATCATGCAACATCGAAATTTTGAACAGTCGATAGAAAAACCCGAGTTAAGTTTACATTTCTATTTCTTATTAAAATTTGACGGGACAAAGTATTTGATTATTTTCAATTTGTTGGTTTCTTCTTGGTATGGTAGTTGTAGATTGTTCCATAGTGTTTAAATCATTTTACAGAATTTTTTTTATAATATTGTATACATATCGTTTAATCTGATCAAACGATTACTGGTTTCTACGCGAGGAAAAAAGAGGCATATGAATTAAATCTAACAGCGTCCGTCGTATCATAAATTTCTTTTTAATAAGGGAGAAATCTTAAACGAAGTAATCTATGCGACAAACGATAGAAGAGAACAATAGAAAGAGTTATCTCCCTTATTATGGGCCAAGCATACAAAGAATCGGGTTTCGAAACATATTACATGTACTGATAATTTCATATCACACAAGGAAATCCATAATAAAACTTCACCATGATGGGAATGGAAACACAAATACTTACCAGTACTGCCTTCGTAAGACCATTCTGAAACAAGAAAATAATGAAAATTAGAATAATGAATCGTAAAGGTAAGACAAAGCAAATGAAGCAGGTTGAGTGTGAATATTGGCTATGTATTGGGATTCCTTTATTTACACAGCAATATCAAAATCGTGGAATTACAAAGTAATACAAAATATAAAAATAAAAACTTCAAAATGTCAAGGTATAACAACAAATAATTAGATAGTAGTAAAAATAAATAAACATGTTATAACTAATTAAATCTAACTCAAGATTAATTTAATCTAACTCTAGATATGTCAACAAAAACATAACAGTTTTCTCTAACATGAAAAGTAGCATTGTTTTGTGTCTATATGTGTTATTGTTTGTAAATATTGACCTTTGTCACGGATATTGTACTAAACAGAGTTCATGTTCCAACACTGCTATAAAACTAGTTTGAACATGAGATACCATTTAGTGTCTCAACCGGGTCTCCTTTGGCAAAATCTCAAACGAATATCTTAAGTACCCACTGGAATCTTCACGTCTACCTCAACAATAACAATGACAATTAAGTTGTTGTTGTCCAATATCTGAACTACTCCAGTTCTGGTCGAATCGGGTTGCGGGCTTAGAGCCGATACGAACAACATAAGTAGTATATATATATATATAGTACGACACGGAAGGAACACAATAGTTAAAAAATGACTCCGATTATAATCTGATAGCATTTCAGATTATAAGCAAAAATATAAGGAAAAGATATGCTGGTCGATTTTTTTTTTTTTTTTTACTAAAAGGCACCTGACCTGTTGCGCTTGTTCGTCGTCTGTCGTCAGTCATGCTTAAATTTTTTCTTTTTAGCACGATAACTTAAGTAAATATCCACAGTTCTTTTTATGAAATTAAGTATGATGAGATCGAGAATAACTTAGTCAATGGGGCCGATTCGATCGTAAATTGGAGAGTTAAGGCCCTTCTTATTTTATCAGTATTGAGACTTGTGAACATTTTCACATTGTGAGCACGATGATTTAAGTAAATATGAACAGGCTTTCATATTAGATTTAAACATATTTTATTGCAGATACATATACATAAAGGATTTTTCACAAGTTTTCCAACTTATACTAAGGCTTTCATAACATTCGGTATGCAAATCACCGATGAGTTCGAAAATGAAGCCGATTCGATTTCAGCAGATTTATTGCCCTTTACATTTTCATTACTGTTTGACCTTGTGAACACGATAAAATGTCTACTTCATATGAGTTTAGGGATGGGCTTTAGGCTTCTAACCATATGTTTTCATAAATGCATTTTGATATTCAATTAATTATATACTTTATACTTTATCTTCAAAGCCATAAATTTAAACAAAATGACTTAATGTAATTTATTTGAATCAAACTTGAAAAATAAAAAAAAAACATTGTTACATACCTGTATTTCAAGTAACATAAGTAAAGAAATTCTTGTCATGCAACATCAAACATAGTCATAGTTTTGGAGCTAGATATATTTTAAAGATAATTAAGACTCAGACTGAAAAATAACACTAAAAAACCTACGAAATGGAAAGACATTCTTAATACTGTCCCAAGCGTAGCAAACTATAAAAGGGCAGACATCTGATCCCAATTAAGACACAGTTGTATTCAAAGTATTGTTTTGGATGAAATTATTAATTAAATAAAAATCCCTTTTTCTTAAAATCTATGTCAATTTGAACGAAGGCATTTCAAAACAATGAAAGAAATGAAAAATAAAATTATATATTGACAAAAATAACCATTATGGGAAAATGAAAAATTTTACATCTAAATCTGAATAAAGAAAATTAAAAAAAAAAAAAATCGAAATGAGAACCGAGGCAGTCATTAAAACGGACAACTACAAGACATGCCTAACGACTACTAATGTGCATTGTAGCTAAACGGGACTTTATCTACCGTAACGTAAGCACAAAATTTTCATATTCAAAAGTAAATGACAGGATATCGGTAACCATATTATAATAATTAAATATACATTGTAACCCCTCTAATTGAGATTAATGTCTTAGTAATAAATTATAATATTTCTTCAAATATTAAAGAAACGAACTTCCTGATTGTTATAGAAAGTTTGTAAAGGAAACATCTAGTTCTCTATTCATGTTCCTGTTTATATGTAAAAAAAAATGTATGGAAAATTACATAACACACAAAAGACGTTTAACGACATTGTGGGCATGCATACTAAGGGCTGTGATCATGTGCAGCCGTGCTTACGTAGGTTTTATGAACCCTTCTAAAATGACATGACTCATTTCAAGTAGGGACGGACAAAAGATTTACAAAATGTTTGAAATGTGACTTGGAAAAACAACTTCTAAGGTTGCCGTTCCTTTACGCTATAGTTCAGTTCTGTGGTATTTTTCAATTATTATTTTATTTCAGACTGTGATGTCGATTTTATCCCTGTTGTTGTGGCTGAAAAATATTTGATGTGATTGCCACCTCCTTTACCTCGCCCTGTGAACTTTGTTTTTATCAAAATACGATGGCTACCACTGCTTTTGTGAATAATCAAACACTCTTTTAAAGATATAAAATGTGCCAAATAAAGACAAAAAGTAAATTTTTACATTATTCCTGCAAAGAAAAGACGAATTTCAGTCAGGTTGGTACTTAATATAATACAAGACACTCTGAAGCTCATTTAAACGTGCCATGACCATACTAAACTAAACAAGTTATTCCAGCTTACATCAATCACTCTTGTTCGCCCGAATAGAAGCAAATGATGGGTCTTTCTGTGGAAGAAAACCCGGAGTACCCAGTGGAATACCACCTAGCCGGACGGGTGGTGAAATACCTTTATATGGCCGTTCAGGGGAATCGAACCTATGTAATCTGAGTGAAACACACATGCAGAGAGCGAAAGTAAGCGTAACAACAGCAGTGTCGAGGATGCTGATAATGAGCTGCTTTCAAATAAACACTTTAAACTTTCAAAATTAGAATTTTCTGGCCCTTTTTTAATTTTTTTTCGGAAAACAGGACGTACATGGCGAACTTTTAAGTACGTTTGTGAAGATTTCTACAACCATAAAGTGTTCGTTTGACTTTAGACATCTCCATTGTTAAGCACTCTTTCAGACAAGTACGTCCGCCTTTAAACATATTGAATTTCATTTTCTCAACAGAAACTGAGCAGAACCTAGCATGCAATAATATCGCGGCATTAATCCAGAAAGATACAAATTGATTGGTCAAATGTTTGCTATCTTGACAACCTGAGTTCCTTGTTATGAGTATATGCACTTATCATTAGTGCATGCAGTATGTGCTATCAAAGCAAGATTTTAAAACGTGCTTGTCGATTTTTTTCACATTTGAAAAGGGACCTTAGATATATCTCAATTAAGCTTGTAATGGCAAACATAAACAGGAGGTATTGAAGATGAAAGTCTATAGCAGTTTTAATTTCTGTTCACTCTTTGCATCGACAATACACCTTATGCACTGATTACTCCAGATTTCTGCACATGGGAAAAATGATGCCCTCATTTTTGATTTTGGATATGTTCCAAATGTAGACAGTGTTTATGTCACACCTCCTTCTCCAGGTAGAGAGTGTTTTATGTCACTCCTCCACCTCCCCCCCAGGTAGACAGTGTTTTATGTCACTACTCTCCCCTCCCCCAGGTAGACAGTGTTTTATGTTCCACCTCCTTCCCCAGGTAGAGAGTGTTTTATGTCACTCCTCCCCCTTCCCCCAGGCAGACAGTCTTTTATGTCACATCTCCTCCCTCAGGTATACAGTGTTTCATGTCACATCTCCTCCCCCTGGTAGAGAGTGTTTTATGTCACTCCCCCCTCACCCCAGGTAGACAGTGTATATGTCACTCCTTCCCCCAGGTAGACAGTGTTTTATATCACACCTCCTTCCCCAGGTAGACAGTGTTTTATGTCACTCCTCCTCCCCCAGGTAGACAATGTTTTATGTCACTCCTCCTCCCCCAGGTAGACAGTGTGTTATGTCACACCTTCCCCAGGTAGAGAGTGTTTTATGTCACATCTCCTTCCCTAGGTAGAGAGTGTTTTATGTCACACCTCCTACCCAAGGTAGACCGTGTTTTATGTCACACCTCCTTCCCCAGGTAGAGAGTGTTTTATGTCACTCCTCCTCCTACCCCAGGCAGACAGTGTTTTATGTCACTCCTCCTTCCCCAGGCAGACAGTGTTTTATGTCATACCTCCTCCCCGTGGTAGAGTGTTTTATGTCACTCCTCCCCCTCCACCCAGGTAGAGAGTGTTTTATGTCACTCCTTCCTACTCCCCCAGGTAGACAGTGTTTTATGTCACACCTCCTCCATGGTAGAGAGTGTTTTATGTCACTCCTCCCCCTCACCCCAGGTAGACAGTGTTTTATGTCACACCTCCTTCCCCTGTTGGACAGTGTTTTATGTCACACCTCCTTCCCCAGGTAGACAGTGTTTTATGTCACACCTTCCCCCAGGTAGAGAGTGTTTTAAGTCACACCTTCCCCCAGGTAGAGAGTTTTTTATGTCACACCTCCTTCCCCAGGTAGACAGTGTTTTATGTCACTCCTCCTCCCCCAGGTAGACACTGTTTTATGTCACTCCTCCTCCCCCAGGTAGACAGTGTGTTATGTCACACCTTCCCCAGGTAGAGAGTGTTTTATGTCACATCTCCTTCCCTAGGTAGAGAGTGTTTTATGTCACACCTCCTACCCCAGGTAGACCGTGTTTTATGTCACACCTCCTTCCCCAGGTAGACCGTGTTTTATGTCACACCTCCTTCCCCAGGTAGAGAGTGTTTTATGTCACTCCTCCTCCTACCCCAGGCAGACAGTGTTTTATGTCACTCCTCCTCCCCCAGGTAGACAATGTTTTATGTCACATCTCCTCCCCCAGATATAAGTGTTTTATGTCACACTTCCTCCCCAGGTAGACAGTGTCATATGTCACACCTTCCCCCAGGTAGAGAGTGTTTTATGTCACACCTCCTCCCCCCCCTCTCAGG